GGAGGACATGCATGCATGGATTATAAACGAATTTACAAAGTGTTTCTGTTTGTAAATTGAAGAGTCGGAAGAGGTTTGCCTAACGTGTGAAATGACAATTAACAAACTAGCCGTGTACATGTGTACAAATTAAGGATCTATAACCATGTCAACAGAAGTAAACAAATTCCGGAGTTCCCTATACATTGTTTTCTAGATCATTCGTTCCCTACACAGTGTTAATCTCAGATTGAACCCGCTCTAGCTTTCCTTCACCGTCTTCGGAACTGCATTGCTTGCCAGGTGATTTGCCGTCCTGTTGAGGTGTTTTTTTGCCTTTCTTGTCGTGGCATGATAGCGCCACATGGATGGCCATGTAGAGCAGCACAGCGACGGCGAGCGCGACGACATATCCCGATGTCTTCCACTCCCGGCTGCAGCCGGAGGCGTACGCCCACAGGAGGCCAAGCAGGGCCAGCAGAATCGAGGACTGGGCCACCCAGAGCAGATGCAGATCGTCCGATTCCAACTCCTGCTTCGGGTCGAACAACGTCTCGTCCAACAGCAGGAGGAGGATGACGACGATGGACGCCAAGAAAGAAACGGAGTTGCTGTAGAAAAACAAGCGGTACCGCTGCTTGTTGCTGTCGCGCAGCACCGGGTTGCCGGCGGCGTGCCCGTCGCTGCCGTCCGGCCAGACGCCGCCCGGCGGGGTAAGGCCGGCTTGGTAGGTGACGCTCGCAACCAGGATGCCCACAAGCATCAAGTACTTGCGCTTGGTGTATCTTTTCTTGTTCCCCTCTTTCCCTTTCGGGGTCTCCTTGGTTTCGTGAGCGCTGCCGAGCCCGAGACCCTTATTGAATTTGAAATGGAATGCTAGAAGGAGTAAGATTATGAAGGTGACTACCACAGCCACCAGTGAGATCATGAAGATGGATGTCCGGAGATGGCGAGAGCTTCCGGCTGCGTAGGCGGCCATGAGGCCGAACAGGCCCGCCACCGCGCACACGTAGAGGGCGTAGCACCTTATGCCCAGCCGGTACAGGTTCGGGTTGACGAGGAGGATGATGACGGCTATGGATGACATGAAGCTCGCCGCGTTGCAGTAGAAGAAGGTGGCGTAGCGGCGAGGGTAGCCGGTTGAGAGAACTGGGTAGCCTGCGGTGTGCCCACCGGGCACGTCCTCGTCGACCCAGAAGCCTCCCGGGGGGGTCAACCCAGCTTGGTACGTGATGGTGGCGGCCAAGATGGCGAGCAGCAGCAGTACTTTGCGCCTCTTCAACATTTTCTCTTCCTCCTTGTCGTCGCCTCTGCTGTCGCCCTTGTGGTCTAGCGTGAACAAGGCGATGTGTATGACCACGTAGACCAGGACGGCGCCGGCCAGAGCGACGACGTGGAGGGAGGTGCTCACGTCCCGGGCACAACCGACCGCATACGCAGCCATGAGGCTAAGCAGGTCCAGTATCATGGCGGCCTCCAGCCCGTGGCTCTTGTGGACGGCGCTCGATGTCAGATGCTTGCTCTGGACCATAATGATGACAACCACCGAGGCGACCAGAGCGGCGGAGTTGCAGTAGAAGAACGCCCTGTAACGTCTGGGGTGCGTGGTCACCAGCACTGGGTCGCCGCCCTTGTGCCCGTCACGGTCGTCAGGCCAGAAGCCGCCCGGCGGGTTCATCCCTGCCTGGTAGGTGATGGTCGCTGCAACAGTGGCAAGTAGCAGCACCAGATAGTGAGCCCTCCTTAGCTGAATGATGCCTTCGCTCTCTGGCGGCTCTGGCGATGACAAAGTTTAGAGTTTACAAATAACAACCACGGTTTCATAATATTTACACATGAGCAGGAGCAAATACCTTGGGGTTCCTTTGCCGATAGTCCTTTTGTGGATCCAGCTCCAGCATGAACCGATGGGTTGAATGATCCAGGTCCAGCATGAAAATAGCCGGCTGCAACGCAGGTTAGTAATGTTTATTAGTGGATCTAACACTTTGTATTTTTTATTTTATTTTTGCAGAAAACACTCTGTATATTTGTAGGGGTTAAAATCCTAAAAGGCATTGAGGGTATTTATACCTTTTGAAAACAAATCACAAGTATGTGTAAACTATTGTCCGTGGTTGCTAATACACACCATAACTATTTTGCATGTCGTGAGCGATAATTTTCTGGTTTTCACCTGCCTTTTGTGGTTTTCACTTTCAATTTCAGCAACAACCGAAATCGGAATGTTGGTGATTTCGGTTTACATTTTGCCAAAGGGCCGAAATATTCACTTGAATTCAATCAAATATTTGGAGCATCTGAAAATATGTTTTAAAAATATATTTGGATTCCTTTGTACTACCGAAATTGCTGAATATTTTGACCAAAAGGTAAATATTTTAGTGTCTGAAATCACTGAAATTCAGGGAATTTCATCGAATCTCATTAAAAGTGAAAACCCACTATCATGTGTGGACTAAAGCGTCTATTCTCTTAGCTCCATGGCATCTTTAAAACTCAACATGTATATTGTGCAAAAATATATACATGGTATAGTCATACTAGCTAGTAGTCGAATAAGGCGTTTACTAACTGGTTGTGCGCGCAACGCGAATCACAGCCGCTGCTCCAACATATGGATCCGGGCCCTTTGCATGTGCATGCCTCTCTGCCTCGCTTTTCTTTCCCATGGACTGACAAATGCATGGCTACAGTACAGTACACATGCATGCCTAGGTTGTCTTTCCTCTCTTCAAAAACTTTGTTACTTTTAGTTGTCTTTTAACAGTTTAATCAAAATTTGTTTTTGAAACTTCATATATATTTGAACTCCTGATGCCAAGATCTTCAGAACAAGATCAGGTTTGTATAATTTTTTTAATACCATTTTTAACTAGAATTGCAATATGGGTTTTTAGAAAATTATCAGTGTTTTTAGTGAGGAACTTTGCTGGGCATAGTGAAGAACTTCTCATTTTCATTTGCAAAGTGATAAATAAACAGGAGCAGGAGCTGAGGAACTTTATAAATAGGTTTTCTGTACTTTACTAGAAATATTAAAGAACTTTTCTAGAAAATGTATCTGGAACAGAAGAACATTATAAACAGCTTGTCTGAACTTTGATGAAAAGTTTATGAAACTTTTTTAGAAATATATCAATGTTGGACTCGTTTCGTAGAGCTAGCCATGAGAAACTCAAATACATAAACGAATTCAAATTTGCATAGTTTATTTAGAAGTTAGTGACATATTAATTTTGCTAGCAAATATGGTGAAGTAGCCCACGCGTCCCTTCTGTACCTCATGTCAGATTTTTAGAATAGGGCATATTGATGTTGACATACATGCATGGGACCAGCTGCATGTTGATATGGCGTCTAGCATGGATGGGTGGATCAGATATACGTTGCGGAAAAATCCGCTTCCGCTAGTAGTAGTACAACTAATATATAGCCAAATATGTTCACTTGTGATCTTTCCTAGAAAGGAAGAAAGAAAGGAGGCAGAAACGACTAATATTGATGTATATAACACTATGAGTTGTGGTACGGTAGGTGCCATGTGTTTATTACAAAAGAAAATACTACTAATACTAACTAGTGTTAGAAAAGAAAGTACTAATTGCAAGTTGACGTGACGCGGTCTAGATGCCTTGTATTTCGCCTCTTTGCCTTCCCGGCTGTAGTTTGAGCTAGGATAGTTTTGTGCTATGTTGTATCCCTTTCTGCTCTTTCCACACCTAATGTGGTGCCCCTATCTTCTCTCATGTATGTTACTGATATTTCTCTCCTACTCTCTTCTACTCTCATGTATGTGGTGCCCCTAGTGTGTTGTTTTCTTTTTTATTTTATGGGCTTGTTGAGCTGTGCCCTCAGCAGAACTTGTGTACTTTGCCGTGAGATTTGGGTGGGCGTGTGTGGACTTGCTTCTGTTTGTATGCTCTGTGGCGGTTTGTTTTATGTATAAAGCGGGGCGAAAGCCTTTTTCGGTAAACTAATATAAGAGCATACTAAAGTAGTAATCTAAACGCTCTTATATTGGTTTACAGAGGGGGTACTTACTTATCAATGAAATGATATGTAAACTTTGCTTTCTTGTGAAAGAACATACTAGTGTTGGATGTGGATCATACCTTCCTATTTGACCAGCAAGGTTGGACAGCTTATCCCACCAGTATTTGTGGATGAGGAACAGGATGGCGATGTATACGACAAGAAGGAGAACCAGCACGCCGAGGTAGATGGTGGAGGTAGTACTCCTGCAGCTCCCGACGGCGTAGGCCCCGAAAAGGCTGAACAGCGCGACGAGGACGAACCCGTACGGGACATGCTGCCACTGGTCCAGGTGTCCATCCCGAGCTCGCTCCTGATGGTCGTCAGGCGCATGACTGCAACCAGGGACGCAATGAAAAGCGGCGGTGTTGAAGATGAAGACGGCAGATACCAGAACGGAGGCGAAGACGGTTGTGACCGTTCCCCGGCTTGCCCCGGCGGCGTAGGCCACCATGAGCGCGAGCAAGTCCAGCACCATGACCACCCTTAGCGTGACGAGCCACTTGGTGCTCCCGTCCACGCTCCGCTCTACGAGGAGGAGGAGGAGGATGACCACGACCGACGCCATGAACGCGGTGGCGTTGCTGTAGAAGAAGGCGTTGTACCGGGTGTGGTCCGTCACCACGAGGATCTGGTTGCCGGCGCGGTAGCCGTCCTTGGTGCTCAGCTGCCAGACTCCTCCCGGCGGGTTTAGCCCAGCGACGTACGTCACTGTGGCCGCCAGGATGGCCATCAGCAGGAGGTACATGCGCAGCTCCAACATGACTCCGCCGCTCGTCTTGGCCAGCCCTTTGTCAGGCTCAGGGGCACTCGCGGTTTGGCTCTGGTCGTTGCCGTTGCCGGGCGTTTCCTCGATGTCGGCAGTCCCATTTTGCGCCATGGTTAGGAAATGGTGGCACCTAAGCCGGAAGACATGGCCTGGAACGCTCTCTATATAGCAGCACATTTGTTCGTTCGCACATGGGAACACGGCAAACCGTCAATTAAAATATGATCTTGCATCATCGGGAGTATCCTAATGGTAACTTAAGTCTCTTTGTTTTTGAATGTGTACCTTATAAGTTTCTTATTAACTTGACAAGAAATGTAAGGTCAGTATTAACAACGATGCCAACTGACGACTATCCACGTATAGTTTCTATACGAAACTGGACGGACATGCATGTGGCTGTGCCGCCGGGAAAGCAAGATGTGGACATTAGACATGTTAGCTGTGAGATATGAGACGACGGCAGGTGATGGCGGCGTTCTACGCCGTTATCTTGATGAAGGCATCGTCGTGTAACTACTGTCGACCCACTCGTGCTGCTCCGGAGGAAACCCTAGGATCTAGTGTTCCAGATCGGATGATGGCGGCACTGCGGTGTCGTTTCTCTCTTAGGAGCATCGTTTGTGGAGCAGCGCTGGAAGTTAGAGGCAGGAGGTGGAGCGGCTTCGTCTTGCACGGAGCTACGGTGGAGATGTCAAGTCATGCCTGACCGACAGGTGCTACGCTTGGTCATGCCTGGTCGGCAGGTGCTACGCACGACAGATCCTCCAAAGACTTCAAGCTGTGTCGGCTGGTGATACTTGACAGCATGGCGCTGAGGTGTATCAGTGGCGACCGCGACGTGTTCAGCTGTTTGCGCGCAGGGAGGAGGTGCCGTTGGGCGTCGTGGTGATGTTGACGATAGCTGGACCGAGCAAGGTTGATGCATCAGTACAGTTCTGAAGATGGAGCTGTGGCAGTTGGCGACGGCGGCCTCTGAGAACACGCCGGACCAGTGTGTGCCCCAGACCCGGCAAGTGGCTACGTTGGGGTCTCAGGTCTTAGATGTTAGGTTTGGCTGCGATGTCTGTTTGATATTAGGCCCAGGCTATCTGCGCCCTTCATCAACTGGACAGGTGTAGCGACAGTTTATTGCTTAGACGACGGCTTTAGTCTTACTATTGTATTGATTTTGTAAGGTCTTGTAAGAATAATCAATAAAGTGGCCGTATGCATCGTCCAGATGCAGAGGCCGGGAGTCATCCTCCTTTTTTTTTAAAAAAAGCTGTGACATGTGAGACGACCATCCCAAGTAATTAAAACAACACGACCGAGTAACGAGCCTGCCGAAATATCACGCTCTATGTCAAATAAAACGCATTTTATTGTCCCGGCGTCTGCAACCTTGCAAACAAAATTCACATCATATGTCACAGCAAACTGATCGTTACCAGATCACCAACTCTTGTTCACGTCACATAAAACTCGTTCAAAGGCGTAGCAAACTTAAGTATCACAAGTAGCACAACTCCAAGATCACAAGGATGTGGTGGGAGGTTGGTACTTATGAAATCATGTCTAGCTAACATTCCTGTGTATTTGAGGTCCTTTTTCATTTTCATAAATGCACTTTGGACCTCAATAATTCTCACAATGGCAAACTGCCTCTGGAATGAGTTTGAGGGCCCATAGGAAACTTCACTTAGCGTGTGTTCAAAATACTATGGGTGTTTGGGAATTTCAAAAATTAGAGATGTTAGGTGCTTGCTTGCTTCTTGGATGAAAAGGTAGGGGGTAGCAAGCTATGGAAGAGCTGCCATTGACTCCTAATACTCTTATAAATGATGCTGGATTACATGCTTCCTTCGTGATCCTGAGGGGCACATGCTTGCTGGGCCATTTGATCTGCCTGACACCGTATAATTTTACTGCATGGTCGTTTCTCAGCTGCCAATCCTCGTTAACCAGTCTCTCACCTGTGCGCCGACTTCGGTAATCGATGACCTGTGGACCTCTTCGTGTAGCGTCTTTTGCATCCCCTTGTGCGTGTGCCTTTCCTGCGCCGGGGGCATCAGATGTTTGGCCCATTTGGTAAATGCACTCCTCGGCCCTTCCTATCTAGTACCGAGTATTTGTGTACGTGTGCGACGT